TTAACTCAAGGTCTCTTTGGCTATTGGCAAGCTAAATGTCACTTGCCAAGGTCTACAAGGGCAGAAAGGGACAAAATGAATCAAAGAGGTGGATCATGGCTGCAGGATCTCTAAACACATTACTTGAGTTTGTACCTATATATATATATATATAATATATAATATATATAGTATATATACATATTTACTGTTTTTAATTAAAGTAACATTGTATTATATAAGTTTGAAATTTTTGTCATAAATCACCTTGGGTGTATGTTTTATTAAGTTCACCACAAAAGTCCAGTTCTGTTCTTCACCATACAATTGACCTTTATCTGCTATATTCCCCTTTCTCGTCCTTCTTTCTGGTAACCATAATTTTGTTTTATAATCTAAAGGATTATTTTTGTTTATTTAAGTCATCTGTTTTCTTTATGTATCACCTATGAGTACAATCACAAAGTTTCTGCTTTTTCCATCTGAATTATTTCTCTAAGCATAACATCTCCTATCTGTGTTGTTAAAGTGGCAGGATTTCATTTTTTATAGCTGAGTAGTACTCCATTGTGTATATATACTAGTATATATTGTCTTTATCAATTCATCTGTCAATAGACACTTAGATTGTTTTGAACTCAGGACTATTGGGTTGGGGTGTATGACCATCCAGTGAGGCAATGGCTCTATGAACATGTGAATCAGAGTAGTGTTGTGTGGAATGACTGTCGGGACTCTGCTTTGTATAGCTCTGTATCTATCCTGGTTCAATATTTAAATCAGCAAATCAAAAATAACAATAGCTAAACTGAAATATGGGTTTTTTTCTGTCTTGAGAAAGATAATACAGAGGTAAGAAGCCAGGTCTAGTATGGAGGTGCTATTATGAATCAGGAAATCTGTCTCTTTGCAGATTTTTGCCCTTCTACCTTCATGTTCTGTAGATGTTGCTAGAGCTCTAGTCATCATACTTATATTTAAGGCAGGAAAAGGAAAGGACAAAAGATAAAAAGAAATACATCTGCTGAGTCACAAGTTTTTCTAAAAAGTCCTGCTCAATGGTTTCCACTTACTTCCCATTGGCCAAAGCTGTAACCACCCCAGACTGCAAGGAAGGCCGGGGGATAGAGCTTTTTAGCTAATAACATTACTCTTCTGGATAAAATTGAGGTTTTTCTCAATAAAAAGAGGGGGAGGGGAAATACAAGGACTAAAGTTAGCATCTTCCAGAAACAAAATAAACAATCACCTCTTCTGGATATCTGTTTTCTCACTGAAAAATATAGAAAATTAGATCATCAGTTAGTCACCTGTGATTTCCAAGAATATTGTAGCACACTTCAAAAATATTATGTCTTTAGAATGTTCATTTTTAATTGGTTGTATGTTGATTGGGGGTTGAATATCTCTTTACTTTTAATATTGTTACCAATACTATTCACTACTACTAACTTATTTGAAAGCCCAATATATGTGATAGATTTTATTACTATTAAAAATAAGTTCTTTATTCAGTTTCTAGTACCACTGAGTACCATTTAGTATCTAGTTCCTCTTCACAAAGCAATCTTCAGTTATACCCTACAGCAAATCTATAAGGATTTCTCCCTTATAGATGGGAGGTTTGAGGTTCAGATTGTTAAATTCAGATTGTTAGATCAACTCATCCAAGTTCACAGGATTGGAAAATAGCAGAGTCAGCATTTAACCTCTAAGGAGCTGAGGGTTTTTTCATATAAGTTCTTCATCAAAGCATTATAGAAAAAGAAAAGGTGTCCACTCCAGGCCCCCCCGGGCCTGATTGTGAGACAAAGAAGAGCCACCAGCTGGTCTAAGGCTATGCCCTTGGCAGTGGGCCACCAAGAAGGAATTGGCTCATTTTCAAGAACCGTGCTCAATATTGGGTTTCTGTCTCTTTAAGATAAGATTTTGCACACCACAGCTACACCAGGGCATCTTGTAAACTGAATTTTCTTTCACAGTTCACAGGTGCTAGGCAAACAGGGACTGTGAGAAAATGCCAGACTGACTTACAAATACATTATTTTTCTCATACTGGAAATAAGTCAGACCTTTGAAATGTTTTCTAATCCTATCAAAGTTTGGAAGATAGGCTCAGAATCTTAAACCTGAAAGAAAACAAATAGAAGTTTCACCATTCAAACACCTGTTCTTAGAGAGGAAGAGAACCAAGTCTTAGAGAAATGAAGCTTCTCGGTCAGGTTAACACACATCTCTATTTAGATAAAACCATAACAAATAAGAGATGAATTCAGTTTCTGTTGCCTCCCAGAATTTACCCAATGTTTATCTTTCCTCCAACCTTAAAACTAAAACTTCTTTAAACATTTCAATTT